TTAGAGTGTTACACTAAGGAGTTTTTGTGTGTTACATTAGAGTGTTACATTAAGGAGTTTTTTTGTGTGTTATATTAGAGTGTTAGGTTTGGAAAAAATATACTAAAGGAGTTTTTTTGTGTGTTGCATTAGAGTGTTACAATAAGAAATTTTTTTGTGTGTTATTTTAGTGTGTTACACTAAGGAGTTTTTTTGGAGTGTTATATTAGAGTGTTACGTTTGGAAAAACTATAGTAAGAAGTTTTTTTATGCGTTACATTAGTGTTACATTTGGATGTTAATTAATGTCAATATTACAATAGAGACGAACACTACAAAAAGGAACAAACACCACACCAATAACACCACAAACGGGGTAACATCATCCACCTACAAATCACTCTACTAAATCCCCACAAAAAAATAGAAACGTAAAAACCTATCTTACCCATGCACACCCAACATTAGGAAAAAATTCAAACAAAATCACACACAAGGGCAAACAAGTAAACTTTCAAACCCCAAATCAAGGAAATACAACATACCCAAAACAAAAATGACTAATTGGTTTGAAAAAAAACTTCTAAGACTAAATGGAATAACTTTTCTCCAAATATGATTTATGAGTAATTTTTTCTAAATAATAATAATTTCTACTTTCAAAACAAGTACAACTACTTGTTTATATATATATATATATATATATTGCCAAGTGAATTTTTTATTTCTCTATTTAAAAATAAAATTTATATAGTGTGGAGACTAGGAATTGAACTTTCAAAACAAGTACAACTACTTGTTTATATATATATATATATATATTGCCAAGTGAATTTTTTATTTCTCTATTTAAAAATAAAATTTATATAGTGTGGAGACTAGGAATTGAATCCAAGATCTTTTGCTTTGATAAATTAGACTCTTATCACTTAAAATGTACCTAACATATATATTTTTAAATCAAAATCAAAATTTATATTTACAAATTTAACAACATCAGGTTGGGGCGCTTTGCTTTTGTCCAAAAGTCTTTGTTTCTCTTTGTGTACCAAATGGATTTCTTATTTTTCTATTTTAAAAAAATAAAAATAAAAAATAATGAAGAGAGTTTGGCTCAAACTTAAGACCTTGGATCTAATAAATAAAATTTTTACTACTTAAGAGGCAAACAATATTGAAGTAAATTTTTGTTGGGGAATTTTCAAAATGGTTTTCAAAATGTATAGTTTAATTTTTGGGTGTTTTAAAAACCGTCCATGTTTTCTTTGGAAAGCATGAAATAAACTTGGGGACTTTGTCTCACATTGGAAAGAGAGCAAAACATGGAGCACTTAATAAAATGCTACATGGAATATTCTTTTGAATATGGAATTATGGGATGAAAGCTAGTGTGCATGCACCCATATTGCAAGGATGGTGTTTCGCACCACCCGCACACGCGCGGCGTGGGCTGTGTGGCATTTGATGGCACACTTTGCACTTAGCACGAACGCATCAGCGCTTTTCTATTTACATCGGATAGGTTGGAGCGATGATGTGGATCCGTTGTGGCATGGGTGACGTGGAATACAGTCAGCTCCACATGGCAGTGACGTGTCGTCCGTTGGCTATGAGTCAACCGACAAGCGTTGTGTGTCCGATCTGGAGTGGGTTGATCATAGCCGTTGATTGGAGATGTGCGCGATCGTACGGATGAGATGGCACCCGATCGTGATCAGGTGTGATTAGTCAAGACATCTATTCGGTGTCAGAATGATCTGCACCATAGATCGTCGATCCAACGGTCAGATCTGATCGAATGTGATCAAGGGACATGACCATTTGATCAGATCCATCAAGGCCTATAAATAGGGCTACCAAATCAGCCATTTCATTCCAATCCGCTCCAATTCTCTCTCTCTCTCTCTCTCTCTCTCCCTCTTGATTTTGAATTTTTGATCAAGAGTTTCTTAAGCAAATTTCTATTTTTCTTATTGATAATCAAATTCTACATATTTGACTATCAGTGTCTTGGTTTCTTGATTATATCAAGAGTGTTCTGATCTATTGTCGTCAGTGCAGACGCCGATAGACTAGATCTTTAGATCAGATTTTATTGTATCATGGAAGCAAATTTGTTGTAACCCCCTGCACACCATTTGGTGGGTACAAATATTGTCTTTAGGAAAGTGACTTAGTAACGTGACTTGAAGCACTAATTTTCTGTTCTATATAGACAAGATTATTGTCAAATTTTGAAGACCCAAAAACCACCATTTGAAGAATTCAAGACCCTTTGTTCCAACATTTTTTGTTTTAATTTTATATATGAATTGCACATGCATCACGTGTGCCAGATGCTAATTTATACTATATACGAAATATTTGCTTCTTTTTACGCGAAGTGGATTTCTAATTTCTCTAGTTTAAACAAAAAAAACATTACACACGTATCACGTGTGGCAGATGCTAGTCTATAGTATATATGAACTCTTTGCTTCTTTTTATGCCAAGTAAATTTCTCATTTCTCTATTTTAAACATAAAAATGAAAAAATAAATAAATAAAGAAGAAAGTAAGACTTGAATTCAAGACCTTTGATTTGATAAAGAAAACTCTTATCACTTGAGTGATACACAATATGTAATTAATTTTGTTTTATTTGAATTGCATACGCATAGCGTATGCCAGTCACTAGTACTATATATAAAGAAAATACATCTATTGGTGTCTTGAAATCCTTTGCCAAATGTATATCTCTAAATTACCAAAAATATGTGCAATTTTTCCCTTCTTAAAAATATTCAATATGTTTAGTTTCAAATTTTTGGATTCAATCTTTTGGAAATTAAGTTTTTTATTTTCTTATATTTTTTTTGTTTTTAGTGAATATTTTTAAAATTTTAAGTAATTTTTTTTTAAATTTTTTTTAGATGCATCTTATTTATATGTATCTAAAAAGTAAGATATTTATCAGTAAAAAAAAATTAAAAATTAATAAATACAAAAGAATAGAAAAATGTACTCTCTTTTTTTTTTGTGTATTTTTGGTAGTTAGTGAATTTTTTAAAGATTTTTTTCACAAATATTATAATTTTTAAATGTATTTATATTAGGTGTATCTAAAAATTAAAAAAAAAATTTGCTTAACATATTAAAAAAAATTAGTGAAAACAAAAAAAAAATATAAGAAACAAAAATTTTAATTTTTTGAAAAGTGAATCCTAAAACTAAACAAACTAATTAGTTCTTTTATTTATTTCATAAAATATCAAATAAAATGTTATTTGTAGGTTTTATCATAAGAAAGATAAAATTGGTGAAAATAACCTCTAATCATTTTATCAAATTTAGTTATAAAATTGGATATCAATAGTTAATATATGTTTGAAATTGAATCATACCTGTTTTAAAAAAATGGATGACAAATATAGTTTTAAGAATAGTCATTCGTTTTTTCTAGGATAATTTACACTAACGCTCCCTGAGGTTTCTATTTAATACAGATCTCCTTCTCACATTTGAAAAATTACAGTTACCCCCTATCAAATTAAAATGACATATTTGCCCCTTAATCTTTATCATATAAAATAATAAAATAATTTAGATATCTTGTTCATGTTATTTAAAGGAAAATAACAATTATCTTCTTTGGTTTAACTCACACAAAAATTGAGTTTTTTTAAAAATTTATTTTTCACTTTTTTTTTAAAATTTTTACTGAATATTTTAAATATTTAGTTTTTTCTAGGATAATTTACACTAACGCTCCCTGAGGTTTCTATTTAATACAGATCCCCTTCTCACATTTGAAAAATTACAGTTACCCCCTATCAAATTAAAATAACATATTTTCTCCTTAGTCTTTATCATATAAAATAATAAAATAATTTAGATATTTTGTTCATGTTATTTAAAGGGAAATAACAATTATCTTCTTTGGTTTAACTCACACAAAAATTGAGTTTTTTTTAAAATTTATTTTTCACTTTTTTTTTAAATTTTTACTGAATATTTTAAATATTTAAAGTAAATTTTTTTATTTTTATTTTTTAGATACACCTAATTTAGATATACTTAAGAAGTATAATATTTTGTGATTTTTTTAAGTTCACCAAATATAAAAATACAAAAATTTAATATATTATCTTATTTTGTTGTATTCAATGAATTTTTTAAAAGTTTTTGTATAAATTTTATACTTTTTAAATATATCTAAATTAAATTGATCTAATCTAAATATAATGGTGAAAATAAAAATAAAAAATTATATTCATATATAAAAATTTATACAAAAAAATCATAAAAATGTTGTGATAATAATATTGTTGTAAATATAAATCATATTTATGCGTGTTTTGTTTTAAAGTGAGAAGTCACCATTAAGTTATGTTACTGTGTTTGAAAATGGTATATAAAATTTATGTTTGTATATCATCATTCAATAAGAATATATTTTTGTAAAATTTAATGATGGAAAATTGTAGAATGTAATCATGATGATAAAAATAAAAAATGGTAGAAAAAAGGATAAGATGATTATTTAGAAAATTTTAGGACATAACATCAGTAATTTAGGGCAATTTGTAATGAGATTACAAATCTTAAGGAAGAGAATGTAATTTTTTAAATGTGAGGAGGATCTATATTAAAGAGAAACCTCATAGGGTGTCAGTGTAATTTACCATTTTTTCTAATACAAATTTTGATCGTATTGATTTTTTATATGAATATTCTACTCAATGAGTGCTAAAGAGTGAATGATTTGAATTACCAAAATTAGTCATAAAATGAACCTACTAATCCTAAGGCCTTGTTTTGGAATATGTTATTTTAATAATATTTAAATTTTTTACAAAAAGATGTATAAAAAAATTAAAGATAGTAATGTGACAATTCATAATAATTTTTTACCTAAAATATTGAGTCCCCAAACAAGGTCTAAATGTTCTCTCGAATAAGAAAATCAACTTGAAACTTCAAAACACCAAATAATTACTCCTAATTTTAGGTGGAGAATAAATACAACAAAATATTTCCCGCCAAAATGATGAACACACATTACGCGAGTCGTCTTCTTCTTCTTCAACACATATCCTTTCCACACTCAAATCTGGGCCTCTTTGTTTTCAACTGCAAGACAACCGCAACAAAAGCCTCGTTGCTATGGTAATTAATTCAATCTCTTCGAACCCTAACTTTGATCTGAATCAGCTCATACGCCTATCTAATTGCGATCGTGTCGATATATCTTGCACTTCTGTTTTGATTAGTGCATTCACAGATGTTTCTGTTTAGATCCATTACAAATTTTTTAGGGTTTTATATCGTCTGATGATTCTGATATGGTTTAGAGCTCATTGTTTGATGATTAACACATTCTGATTGTGATTTGTGACCTTCCATCTCTGAATCTTTCTTTTCATATAAATGTGTTTGTGTTTGCATGTTTATGCATTTATGTATGAATGTTTATTAGGCCATGATCGAATTTAGATTATGATTTTGATCTTTCCTCTCTTTCTATGACTTTAATTTAAAGGAAATTTAGCTCACCATATCTATATATATATATAGATGTTTGTACTGAAATTGAAGTACTGTGATTGGAAATTTCAAGCTTGATATTGGAATTGGTGGAGAAAATTTCAACTGATGTTTGGATCATTGATTTGGGTAGGGATTTGGAAAGGGAAAGGGAAAGGGAAAAGGCAAGGGAAAGGGAAAAGGTGAGTAAAATGTAGTTATATTTCATTCACATTTCACTTACCTTTTTCCTTTTCCTTTCCAAATCCATGAATCTTTCCCTTTCCAAATCCTTACCCAAATCCATGATCCAAAAACACTCTGAAAGTCAGAATTAAGTAGGGGAATTTTCTAGGCTATGCAGTTTTATTGCTATGGGCTATTGTTTCATTTTTAATTTTGTGCTTTAGGATGGAATGGGTTTGGGTAAAGGATATCAGTTAGCTGCCAAAAGGGGCTAGCACTTTGAATTGAATCTTCTAGTGTAGTCTACTATGGTTTTTGCTTGGAAGTGAGCTATGAAAGTAGAATGAGAAGGGAATTGTTTTGAAGAGCAAATTTGGGTTCATAAAATATGGTAGTTTTGTATCAATGATGTGCAAATGAATAATTTGACAAGTATGAGATACTAAAACATTGTGGTTATTCATGGTCATTGAAAATTAGCTACAACTGTTTGAAAAATGGGTGTTGTTGTAGTCAGATGCATAATTTACTACCATAACAAATCTCATTTCAATTCTTTAGAAGTCATTCCCATTCCCTATTGAATTGTATAGTTTGTATGTTTACTTTGCCACTTGGCAACATTATTTTCGTAGCTTCTACTAGCCTTTTCTACTGTATTGACTATCAGATTTTGCTGCATTTTAATAGAATACATGCTGCACAATCTAACTTCTACTTCTTCATTGGTGGCGTAGTCTAAGAAAAGAGGTCTTTCACTGGAAGAGAAGCGTGAAAAGATGCTTCAAATCTTTTACGATTCGCAGGACTTCTTTCTTGTGAGTATTGTACCACTGCATCTTGTTCCAATTGGAGCTATTTGGTATCTTTTTCCATCTGATCATTGTTGTGAAAGGGCTATCATCAGATACAAGAAGAGGGGCTTTATATATTCTAGTTGACAAAACAGTTCTGATTGGCATGCTTCTTGTTATTCAACTTTTGTTGCAATCAGCTACGCTGAATGCATTCACTAGAGCAAGTTTTGCTCTCCCTTTTATTTCTTTTGGCTGGGGTCCATGGGGTCTTCAATATGAAGTGGGAATTGCTTGTTGAAATTTTGTCCTTGTTTTCTATCACCTGCATTGGGTTATGGATTGTCAGATTTCAGAATATCTTAGGAATTTTATGCATCATCACCTGTCTCTTGCTTTAACTATAATTGTTAGCAACAGTAGTTTCATGAGCTTGTTGCTATATGAACCATCATAAATTGTGACAAACACAAGCAAAACATGCAAATCTAAAGTTTTGTTGTAGTTCATAATTAGTAACTTCTATTTGTAACTGCAGATGTTTTGTCGTAGTTCATAATTAGTTACTCCCAACCAGTTATATGTTTATATGAATCTATTATTAGGTGAAGTGAGCTGGGGTATCTCTTTGGTATTGCAATGGGAAGTTGACCTTTCGAAATTATGAGAAGCTAATATATACCATTTACTTCCCATCTCCTCCTCATCATCCTAGTTGCACTATTGCTAGTGTAGTTGGACATGGCATGTGCAACCTCCATGGAGGTGATGTTAATGGCTTTTTTGCTGTGTTGGTAATTTAATTGTGAAAATATAAAAGAAATATGCCCACTCAAATGGAAGCTAAAATTGGCTATTCCTAAGTGGTAGTCGCCTGCTAGGAACGATGGACTAGACTATAAACCTTACCTTTGACATATTTGATTGAAATGGATGCCTCAGATGCAAACCTGCTTGCTCACACTTGGCAGCCCACCATTGTACCAAGAAAATACATTTACTGGGAAAGATAAGTTTTGTAGCACTTCTCATTCACGTGCTATAGTTCCTTGGTGTGCTAAGGTTGACATAAGGATTCCAATGCGTTTACCAACAAGAAGCAAGAAATTTTATTTTATTTTATCTTATTCTCTATATGTTTTCATTTTACATGTTATTGGATAATTTTTTATAGTATTATACTATATCCTTCTTTGGCATTTTATTTTGTTCTTGTAGTCCTGTTCCAAGTTTGAACTCGGTTGATCTTTTTTGTGACAAGATTCATGTGACATGTATGTTTTGTTGATGGATTTCAGCTCAAGGAACTTGAGAAGCTGGGCCCCAAGAAAGGTGTTATTAGCCAATCAGTAAAAGATGTTGTCCAAAGTCTAGTAGATGATGACCTTGTTTCAAAAGACAAGATAGGAACTTCTGTGAGTAAATCATGTGTGGATGGAGTTAAAAATGAGAATTTAATTTCCTTTTGGAACTCCACAGCTGACCATGATATGTTTTGCCTTGCATATGTGATTTTGTCTTGCCATTTGGAATAAGTTTCCATACTATGAAATTTATCTACACCATTCTGTTTAGTACATAATGATAATGAATATGGTTTCTTTCTTTGCAAATTTCAGGTATACTTCTGGAGTCTTCCAAGCTGTGCTGGTAATCAGGTAAAGTTGATGTTCTACAACCTAGCTTTATGTAGTAGTTTCATGTCTATGTTCTTGATAGTCTACCTACCTATCTTCATATTACCTATGCTAATATGTGTTGTTTAACAGCTGAGGAATGTGTATCGGAAACTTGAAGCTGATCTTCAAAGCAGTAAGAAAAGGCTTGCAGAACTTGTTGAACAATGTGGTTCCTTGAAGAAGGGAAGGGAGGAATCTGTAAGTACATAAAGTTTTGTTATGTTGCTGTGCTTTGAACTAAATTTTGTAAAGATGATAACTCTTTGGCCTTTGTCATATCTACATTTTTATTCTTTTACTAGGATGAACGGGAGGAGGCCTTAGGTGAGCTAAAAGCTATTGAACAGAAGTGTAATGAGTTAAAGGTTGGGGCATGTCCTTTCCTTTGTCATTTTTAAGCGCTATAACCTATCATTTTTTTATGTTTGTGACTATAGTTCGTTACTTGATTTTTTAGGATGAAATGGGACAGTATGCAGACAATGATCCAGCTGCCGTTGAATCAATGAGTTAAGAGAAGTCTATATTTTGATGCTTTAACTATGTTATTTAATGAGCAACATCCTTTTTCCTATGAGAACATACTTTAGTTTCTCAGCGATTCCTTAATTTTGTGAGCATTACGACATACTGATCTTTTAATTGTAATGTTCGCAGAGAAAGCTATAGAAGTTGCGCATGCAGCAGCTAACAGATGGACAGGTTTGCCTCTTAACCCATTTGATTCCCTTTCCTTTTTCTGGCCTGAAAAGAATAATTAACTTGTATTATTCTCTGTTTTCTTGGCCCTTATATGCAAAAACTCAGACAACATCTTCACAGTGCGACAATGGTGCTCAAACAATTTCCCTCAGGCCAAAGAGCAGCTTGAACACATGTACAAGGAGGTATCTTCCTTATTTTTTTAATTTACATGTGCATTTCCTTACAAACTGTGGAGCACAATTAAATTCACCAGCACCCTGCTATCCAAAAGTGACATCCCTCCTAATTGTGCTCTGTCAAGCTGAAATATGTGGAAGGAGCTTACATCTGTAGTTTGTGCTTGAATCATTCGTGGATTTGGATAGGAATTTGGAAAGAGAAAGGAAATGGGGAGGGAAATGTCAATGAAATATAAGCTAATTTTTTCTCCATTTCCCTCGCCTTTCCCTTTCTCTTTTGCTTTCTAAATCTCCATCCAAATCCATGATCCAAACACAGCTTTAATATTTGTGGGGAGGTGGTTTTGGAATACTCCTTTGATCCAGACAGGCCCTCGAGAGATCCTTGAGACGTCACCTGAAACAGAAGAACAACTCTGGTCAGTGGTGCTGGAATTAGCACTCCGACTAGCATGTTAGCTTCTATGGAAAGATTAGTTGCTTTTGGTTTCTTAAGGTACAAGTTTTTAGAACATCCCTCCTCCTTCAGCCTCCCTCTCCCTTTTATAGAGTCATTCTCCTTGATATTTTCTCCATGTAGCTTAGTCCTTCATCATCATTCTCTTAGGGCCCATCTCCCTACTACACTTTTTAGAAATGGGCAGTTTGGTCCCACTTAATGGGACCATATTGACTTACCTGATATACTCGGCTCTGACGTACGACACAAGCAGTGTTGTGAAAAGCGCACCTAGGCGCAAGGCGCAGCGAGGTGCACCCATTGCGTCTGAAGGGGACCTAGGCGAGGTGCATTTGAAGAGTCGCGCGCCTTGGACGCGACTTTGACCAGGCGCAGCGAGGCGCGAGCCTGAAGGGGGTTTTTTTTTTTTTCTTCTTGAATCTGATCTAACGGTTGTGATCTGTGTGGGAGAGGCTCCAACAACATAGGATTACAACTCATGTAATACAACATAACCCAACCCAAATCAGTGTATGACTCACTCAAAGCCCTAATCTATCGAAGAAGAAATCTGTCGACTTCGACTTCAGCTGAGCTTCTCTCTCGACTTCGACTTCGACTTCGACTGGGCTCCTCTCCTCTCTCGACGTTGACTTCAGCTCATCAGGTCAGTTCTTCTTCTTCTTCTTCTTCACTGCTTCGCTGCTTGCTTCTTCTTTGACTTGCTTTGTTTTTTTTTTTTTTTTTTGGTTTTGCTTCTTCAACTTCGACTTCAACCCTCTTTCTCTCTTCTTCTTATTCTTATGCTTTTTCTTCTTATTAATTTCAGTTCAGTCTCTGTTGAAAAAAATAAAAATAAAAAATACAAATAAGGCTTATATTACACTGAAATTACAAATTATTTTACATTGTTGGTAAAATACAAATTATTTGTAATTATTTTACACTGAAATTACAAATTATATTACACTGTTCTGTTTTTTTTTTTTTTTCCCTTTCTCTGTTAGGAAAAAAAAATTACAAATAATTAATTAATCAAACATTACATTACACTGAAATTATTTTCCATTTTTCTAACCCTTTTTCTTGTCTCTCTTATCTCTCTTATTCTCTTGCTTCACTTATTTTATTAATTCTTTTCATTTATGTTATGAATTCAAATTTTTAAATATCAAAATTTAATTCAAAAGCAATTAAAAGTAATTACATTCAATTCAAATAAAACAACTACATAAATAACTATTGAAAATAATTTTAAAAGTTATACACAATTTTATTGTCATGAAATTAATATGAAATTTGTTTCCAGCTTCAAACATATGAAAATAAAAAAACTAATATGAAAAAAAAATCAACAAATTGCGTTTAATAATATTGTGTTATTTGTACAGTTTAAACAAAGTTGCTACATAATTAAAGTGCATGTAAAGTGAAGAGAGAATTGATGAATAAATTAAAGTTAGTGCATAATTATTCTATAATTTGTCTTGATTACTTTTTATTTTAAATTTTTTTTTTGTCTTAATACTATGAATGATTAATCTATGTTAATTTATCTATTTTTTTACTAAGACTGTGCACCTTACTTCAATAAAACCCACGCCTCGCCTTGCGCCTAGGCTCCGAGAGACCGTCAGCTCCTTAGTGCGCCTTGAGCCTTTAAAAACACTAGGCACAAGTACCCTTAACTCAATGTACTCTCATTTTGTCTTTCATGTCTATTCGGCAATGACTTTCAGTCCAGTGGGCTTTGGCTTCATTCGGCCCATCTCGGATGGGCTTGGATGTACTCTGTTTGCCATTTTGGGTATATCTTTTTTTTGCTCCCACAATATCGATTGGAATACACCTTGGGATTATGTTCTTTGTCGGAGGTTGGAACTCTCTATTCCACTGGCACAAAGGAAATATTTAAGCCTTCGATACATCTGTATGATTATCCCATTGCATCTCATAATTTAGGTTCTATACCATATCAGAAATACCATGATTTTCTGTTATATTCAAATTGCCTATCAAACCTGTTAATATAGCAGAATCTTTAGTGTGAATAGGCTAATATAAGAACCCAATTTCTTCAGTCAGCAGCAAAGAATGTTTCTCATTTCCATTTCATTCTTGCCATTAGATACCTTTCTTATATCTTATTGCAGGTGGGAATAACGGATGATTTCGACTATTTGGAGTTACCAGCAATGCTCCCTCTAGGGCCAGTTGGTGATTAGATCCCCGAAGGCAATCCATAGGTATTGTAGATTGGCTTAAGACTCTTAATTTTTAACTGCAATTACTATACTAAGAAGTGCTTATTATTACACCAAATTATTTAAAAGAGAAACAAAATATGCAATTTTGTTTCTACTGTTTGATTGGTGTGGTCTTGCTTGTAGGGTCACGAATGGTAAAAATGGGTCACTTAAAGGACTTACAAATGTATGTTTGAGCTCAACATCAAGCACACTAGAAAAACGAAGAAAGAAAAAACGAGAACAAAAATGATCTTATTGATTAGTTTAAAACTTGAGGATGAGCTATTATCTGACAACAGATATCCTTTTTTACCCGTACCCATAAGCCCCCCAACCTTGACGAATGTGGGGGATGGAGAGAAACTCAACCAACAAACTTGTAAATTTTGGATGCCGCAAATATACCTTTTCCTTTCACAAAGACAGTTAGGAGAAACACGTTTAATTTGCACAATTGCATTTTGTCGGTGCTTTTTGCATGAGACTTGATCATTTTCTTGTTTGTGATGGCTTTCTTCATACTCATTATGAGTTAGATTTCTCTCAAATTAGCATTGTAATTTAGTCTTTTTTCTTAATTCTGTGAAAAAAATATTAGGCTTCACGCATGATGTTGGTGTTTTGCTTGTTTTGTACAACTTGATGGTGAGCTGAAAGTAAAATAAAATTTCAAAAATTTGAAGATGACAAAATAAGATTTGTGTAGTCAATTTTAAGTGATTGGGGATTAAGACTGTTAAGTTACAGATATTCTTGACATTCTTATAATTTTTTCCCAGCACAACTTCATCAGAAGGAAGGAAAAAAAAAATAACAGAATGATATAGATAAAACAATTCACTTTTTAGCAAAAAAAAATTATTTGGCATAGAGAATATGAAAACAATTAGGTGTTTTCAACGCTTTTTATTGTTTTTATTTATTTTTTTTTTTTAAAGAAAAAGAGAAGAATAAGAATAGGCCCAAAATATTCATGATGATGTCTCTCAATATCACTGCATTATCCCAAATCAGATGGTTTCTTGTTCCCTGCCCAGATGGTGACGTCAAGGAGCCTTCCTTGGCTTGCGAAAGTTCCAACAAGTCCCTAACGTGTGCAGTAGCGACGCACTCATCTGCATCTTAGCTATTGATTGAAATGCATCATGAGATTCATTTTTGAAAATTTTAAGTAAATACGCTTTTTTGTTTAAAGGACATTGACTTGTACAGAAAGATATCAATCTGTCAAAAGTTTACATATTTGTTTACGACCCCGCTACGTACCTCGAAACTCGGTGGCTCGAATTTGGCTCCCCCCCCAAAAAACGGCGGTTTTGTGTCTTTGTTTTTTTTTTTTTTTTTTTTTTTTTGCCACATCATTAAAACTCTTTTTAAAATCTTAAAATTAGAAATTTTTATTATTGTTGTTAAAGGAAAGCCCAACCTTAGAAATTAATGTTCGCCAATTCTGTTGTCAATAAATGAATTGACAGTGCATGAAAGGTGAGCCATTTGGTTTTTGGGGGACATGAGATTATAGTAGGGCCACGCCAAGTAGTAGTTGATTTGTATTTTGCCATTATAATGGCTAAGAAACAGAATGGTCTCTCTTTCTCCCTCTCTCCTCCTCTTCCCCTCTCTTCTCTTTCGAGCCATTTTTCGAGCCAATTTCTCGAGCTACCAATCTTTTTCCATTTGTTTAAGAGAATTTTATTATACGCATCTTATTCTTATATCATATATATTTTTAATTACGTTATTTTCTTCTTTAATTATAACATTATTTTGAAATTTTAATGGCTTTTTTATGTTTGGTTATGATATATATATATATATGTTATCATTTAGAAAATATAAAATTATGTAATTTTGTTCTATAATTATCAGGTGCATATGGTACACATCTTTTAAGTGGTGTGTACCATACTCTTTCTCGTTAATTTATTTATTTGAATGTCACTTAAGTGTATACTTATCGCCTATTTATCCACCTATCCATTTAAATGTTATTTATTATATACATGTTATCTATATATTCATTTATATAGTGGTATTTTGGAAAGATAAAAAGTTGGTTTTTTTACTTTTTTTAGTTTATTTTGTCTTTTTGTGTATAAAAAATGTGAGAGTTAATGTGACCCAAAATAAGTAAAAAGTTAAAAATTAATTTTTTTTTAGCTTCCCAAAAGGCCCTATAATCAACACCATTTATTTATACCCTAGCCACTGTCGCCGGCTATCGTCTGTCAATCGTCGAGGACCTTTCAACAATTTTCTAGGGCACCAACAACTTTTCAGGGCCTCCTTATTATCAAAATAGATTATTACTTGACCAAGTAACATATGGTTTCACAAGTTTGAATTCTTCACTAATTATCTCTTATTTTTTTATGGTTTCACAAGTTTGAATTCTTCACTAATTATCTCTTATTTTTTTAAGTTCGAATTTTTCACTAATTATCTCTTCGTTTTTTACACTCCAATGGTGTTAGAGGTCGTTTGAACATTAAAAAATAATAATAATAATAATAATCTGACTTAAAAAATCGAACAACTTAAAAAGTTACTAAATTATTTATTATTAATTAAAAAGATATTTTCGAAGTAAGTTTTTAAATAATTTTTTAAAGCATTGATTAAAAAAATAAAAAGGTAAAAAAAATACCAAAAAAAAAGGGGGACAATTACAAACAAAAAAAAATTAACAAAATAAATCATGAGTTTTCAATTTTGTCAATTTAAACTCTAATCTTTTAATTTGTTTTCAAATCTAAATCATTTTTTTATTTTTATTTAGTAAAATTAACAGAAAAATAATATTTCAATCATTAAATTCAATGTAGATATACATAAAATGTTTAAAATACATTTTTTCATTGAGTTTAATAACCAAAATATTTATTTTTCCATCAATTTTACTTTATGAAAATAAGCAAATGATTTAAATTGAAAACAAAACAAAATTTTAGAGTTTAAATTGATAAAATAAAAACTTTATGATATATTTTTGGCTAACATGGGGTAGAGACACAGGAGAAAAGAGATAATGGGGTGGGCTATCAATTTTATTTTTGTTTTCATACTCATTTACTACAACTATTAACTATATTATTAAAACATTTATTTGCTCTTGAAATTAACAAACACTAACAGCCTGTTTGGATTGCAGAAGTTATTTGGTGGTATTGGTGCATGGTCACGTGAGGATTCAAGTGTATTGTGATTGATGGAGGGGATGTAGTCCACTATTTTGTGTTAAGTGATTGGGGAACATATGGGGATATGGTGGTTTGTGATTAGCCAAAGACATAGCTACGTGATGCCCCTGGACCAAGAAATAATTTTTCGTTTGCATTGAGTGATTTGGGAAGGGGGGAAAATAAAATGAAATGCATTTCTCTTGATGCATATCACTTGTTTGAATAAGTAAAACAAAGAGAAATGAAGTGAAAACGGAAAAAATGGAGATAAACTTATTTCCCTCCTTACTCCTATTTTGAACTCTTTCAAAAGTGAAGAGATTGAGGGAGATATGAAACCAACTAAATACTATTTTGTTATAATACCAAAATTACCCTTTTAGATATATAATAAATAAGAAGATTAACACCTATAAAAAGTTAATTTAGTGATATAATATTATACATCATTTCATTTCTTTTATATAATTTTAATCAAACAATATAAATATATATATTTTTTCTCTTCTCTCTTATCCAAATAAGAGGTAGAGAAATCACAATCTTTTCCTTTCTTGTATTTTCTCTCATAAGTTATCAAACATAGTGTAAGGTTGTGATGTCCCGAGTTTCGGGCTTGAACAGTATTGTCTAGTGGATTAGTATGTACTTTCGGTGTTTTGTTCATCGCTTTGAATCATTGAAAATTTGTTCTACTCTTACGTAATTTCTCGTAACTTTCCGGGTTATATACTTTGAGTTTTAGGCATTGAAACCTACCTTGGTTTGCGAAATCACCTTCTAAATTTCTGGCCAAAACTACTCGTGCGGAATTAAAAACCGCCCGAGCGGATCCTTATAGGGTTTTTCAACATTTTCAGAGTTTTCTAGGCAGAAAACTGCTCGAGCGGATTTTGGGTCCTACTTGAGCGAATTTTGAGTGGTTTTCTGGGCAACTCACTAGAGCAATTCGCTCGTGAAGGGAAAAATTTTCGCTCGTGCGGAATTCAAACCGCTCGGGGCGGATTTCGGCATGTCTGTCTCCATTTTTGTGCTCTTTTCCTCAAAACTGGCACCCAAGAGATGTTTTGACCGCTTTTTTAGCGCTTTCTCTCTGTATTCATATTTGCTCTCACTTCTTTTTACAAACTCACCAAATTCAATATTCTCTCTAAGATTTATCAAGATCTACCAAGAATTTGAGAGGACTTTTTACACCAAATTGAAGAGGGCGGCGAGGGCTATGTTCACTACAACAAAATGCACTTTTGGTGACTAAAAAAAATTTAGTCACCAAAAGTTGTAGAATTAGCGACTAAAAATAATATTAGTCGGCAAAAGTCAAATATTTAGCTACTAATTTTTTTTAGTCGGGGAATATTGATTATTGGTGACTAAAAAAAAATTTAGTCACTAAAAATATTACAATTGGCGATTAAAAAAAATTTTAGTAGCCATTTAGCTAGTTTTGGCTACTAAAATTGTTTAGTAGCCAAATGAAAAGAAAAAAATTATTTTTTTATCTTTGGCGACCAAAAGTTTGGTCACCAAAAATATATTTTCAGCAACAAATTTTTTTTTTGTAGCCGTATAGTTAGTTTTAGCTACTAAAATTGTTTAGTAACCAAATGAAAAGAAAAAATATTTTTTTTTTTATCTTTGGCGACCAAAAGTTTGGTCGCCAAAAGTATATTTTCAGCGACAAAAAAAAATTTAGTAGCCGTATAGTTAGTTTTAGCTACTAAAATTGTTTTGAACCACAGAGCCAACACTGAACTCGCCTTCAAAAAAGCAAGCCCAGGTTGGAGCTACTAAAATTGTTTAGTAGCCAAATGAAAAGAAAAAAAATTATTTTTAATCCTTGGCGACCAAAAGTTTGGTCGCTTTTTGGTCGCCAAAAGTATATTTTCAGCGACAAAAGAATATTTTAATAGCTGTATAGTTAGTTTTAGCTACTAAAATTGTTTAGTAGCCAAATGAAAAGAAAAAAAAATTATTTTTTATCTTTGGCAACCAAAAGTTTGGTCGCTAAAAGTATATTTTCAGCGACAAAAGAATATTTTAGTCGCCAAAAAACTAAAATATTTGGAGGGAGATTTCAAATTTTGGAGGGATTAAAAAGTAATTAGCGACTAAAATATTTAGTCGTGAATTGTTATTAATTATATATGTATTTTGTTTCCAACCCAAACCGTAACAAACCAACAACTCTATTTACATTTTTATTTATTTATAGAAAATCATTAATATCATCAAAACAAATAATTTATATAATGTAAGTGAGATGCAGCTATAGTAGTCCTGACAAGTTATGAGTGAAAATAAAAAATAAAATAAAAAGAAGTAAGATTTTAGATTATTTGTATATAAAATATATATTCAATATAATTTAATAATCTAAATTACTTTAATATCATGTAATAACTAATAATTTGTCACGTCCCTAA